GTTGCAGTGGGAAATCAATGAAGAATATAATTCTTGAGATGTATTCAAAAATCAAATTAGCTTCTCCTCCCACAGTTGTAGCCACCACAGAAATCAAGTGATAAAAAACGTAATTCTCTAACTGATAAACTACATTTGAGGTAACTTCAGTCATACACAAACAGCAAGTAAAAAGTTATGAGAAACTCATTTTGCATGGCACTGTCAGATTGAAAATTTTCTTTCTGAAGCTGGCACAGAAAAAATCAGATCAAACAATCTGATTTTACAACACTGTTGTCAGTTCAGTTCCAACAGGCCTAGGTGCCAGCAGTGGTATCTCACTCACCATCCTCTTCACTCTGGGCCTCGGGTGAAGAATCAGACTGGGAAGATGAAAATTCTTCTTTCCACTTTTTCCTTTTCTTTGGTGGTGGTTCAGCCTTTACCTTTGGCTGTTTAGCTTTGGGTTTCACAGAAGAGACTTTTGTTGCTGTTGGTTTTGGTGTTGGTGGATCAGGGGTTTTGTTGTTGCTATTACTAGGCTTGCAGTGAATAGTCCTGCAATGTTATGGAGATTATCTTTATGAAAATAATGACCACACAAGTCTTGGCATTAATAAAATAACCATAGTCCTATATATTCCCCACTGATTGTACACACTTATTTCATTGTCACCACTGTAACTGGGAACTAGGTCACACACACTATACTACTGTTAATGCTTAACAATTACAACTACCTATGACTAAATAATACTTCCATTTTATAACTAAACAGGCAATCTTAAATTGCCCAATATTAATAGAATTTATGAGCTATAGGAGATTTGAGCTAATGTAAAAATGGATTATTTAATGAAAACAACCCAGACTGGACACACTTGAACAAATACTAGTGATTGGTGAGGTTTGAAGTTTGCTGACAGAGTGAAGAGGTGGGATCTGACTGCTCTCCAGAAATCCATCATGCAGTAAAACGCCAGAGAAAGACAGAAAGAAAAGCCAAAAGCAGGACTGAGAAGAGCACATATCCATTATCCAAGCGACTCACAACCATGGTTTGTTAAAAGATGGGATTGTTTCAGAGCACTGGAGGAACAGGTTCTGGAACAGCCTTTTGTAGCCCAAGAACAAAAGAGCAGCAAAATCCTAGCTAGTTTCAAACAGCTCATGATCATTTTATAAAACTGATCATGTGATGGCACTACTTTCTTTGAGAACAAACTAGACCTAAACCCTCAGCCATCTGAATGAAGAGCTCAGGGACCAACTTCTGTTTTCAATCCAGTTCCCAGCATTGAGAAGGCAACGTACACTTCCAGTAGACCAGGACAGAATGGTCATTAAAGCAATCCAGAAAAAAACAGATCTAACTGGCAAAGTCCACAGGGTACAAGAAAACACCACAGAAGAAATTCAAATCATCACACCAGTAGGTTTCTGTGTCAGATGATGACAGAAGGAAACAGCACATGGAACCTTAACCCCTCTAAAATACATGATTATTGAACAGAGCCAAGGTAGGACAGTTTTGACACAGCAGAAACTTAATTTCTTAAAGCAAAACACACAGTTATCAGTGTCCAACTTGTAGCAGAGTTAACATAAACCTGAGTTCTAACTCGTGTTTATCAAAACAGGTGTGTTCTTACTATGAAGTCAATATGGCAAAATGAGAAAGAAAGGGAAATAAAATACCTTGCTGACTGTACAGGCTTGATTCGAGGTTTTTTTGAGCATACTCTGACATATTCCTTTTTGTTTGCATTTTCCACAAACTTCACGTACACTCGTTTGTATTTTGTTTTTGCATCCCCAAAATACCCAAGGTACTAAGAGAAATAAAAACAAATAAACCGTAACTGTTTCTGTTAAGTAAAATCAGTCAGTTTAACAACTAACATTTCAATACTAAAGAAAATAGTCAGTTCATAAAACCCCACGTGTTTCCATAGGAAGATAAGCCATTCTACAGCATTCAGAACTGAAGAAAAATTCTCCACTGGATTTCTAGGTAACATTCCAAATGAAAGAAAACAAGGCAATTTGGGCTTGCTTTATTCTATACTCCATATGAGTTATCCCAGAAGGATTATCTGCCTGGTGAAATTGTATCCTCTCTGGATCATTCCTATTGCAGCAGTTGGATCCCAATCCTGCTTCCACTCACTTCATTCTGGTTGGGAAAACTTGTGCCCTTACACAGACTAAATGACACCAAAGCACCAGTGCTGGAAAGCAAAAGTCTGTCCATGAACGTATTTAGAAAGAATTTGAGTGGGAAGAAATAAAAACCCTGTTTTCCCCACCACCACTCGATGATGATTGCTAAGAATCTCTGTCAGAATCACAGAATCAATTGGGTTCGAAAAGATCTCCAAGATCATCAAGTCCAACCCTACCGTGGTCACTAGCCCATGGCACTAAGTGCCACATCCAGTCTCAGCTTGAAACCCTCCAGGGATGGGGAATCCACCACCTCCCTGGGCAGCACATTCCAACCCCCCCACCATGATGATTGCTAAGAATCTCTGTCAGAATCACAGAATCAATTGGGTTCGAAAAGATCTCCAAGATCATCAAGTCCAACCCTACCGTGGTCACTAGCCCATGGCACTAAGTGCCACATCCAGTCTCAGCTTGAAACCCTCCAGGGATGGGGAATCCACCACCTCCCTGGGCAGCACATTCCAATGCCTGAGCACTCTCTCTGGAAAAAATCTCTTCCCAATATCCAACCTAACCCTCCCCTGGCAGAGCTTGAGTCTGTGCCCTCTTGTCCTGCTGCTGGTTGCCTGGGAGAAGAGACCAACCCCCACCTGACTCCAACCTCCTGTCAGGGAGTTGCAGAGGGTGAGAAGGTCTCCCCTGAGCCTCCTCTTCTCCAGGCTGAACACCCCCAGCTCCCTCAGCCTCTCCTCATGCCACTTGTGCTCCAGTCCCTTCCCCAGCCTCGGTGCTCTTCTCTGGACCTGCTCCAGCCCCTCCATGTCCCTCCTGACCTGCAAATCACACTGTATTTTGTTTCCTAGACTTCCATTAAGGAAATCAATTCCCATGAGATTTCCTAAGGAATGTTTAAGACTCACACTGTTAGTAGCAGCAAACTCTCTGTGTCCATCTCTCACTTCAGGAACAAACTTTTGCAATAAAGCCTTCTGTACTTTCCAGATAGCTGGAGGCTCTTTTCCTGTTTGCAGAGCAACCTGAAAGAACATCACATTATTTGCTACAAACAGTGCTTATGTTGCTTCAAGAAACGTGTTTATACCTCACATTTTTTGAGGAAGTTCCCCAGGGATCAAACTGAAACCAGTAATTTGAAATTCCAAACCCTCAGTCACTGTGTGCTGTTTGCACCAAGATGAGTTTGTATCTATTAGCTTCAACGGGAAATCCTACACACAAACTAACTGAAAAAATCCTCTTTTTGGAAAACATATAGTCAAATATTGGTTACTTTTTCATGACTCTTCAACTACATAAAAATTCAAAATATCTCCTAACACACCTTAATCTATTTTATAAGTGACAAGGGAGTATTTAAAACTGGTAAGATTTGTCTTATGTGACAAAGCTACTTGAATTTATGCAAAACTGCAGCTCAAGAGGATGAATATACAGACAAGTCATCAAAAATATTGGCAATTTTCTAAGGGCAAGAATATTTCTGGTTTTGATAGCCACAAAAGGAAAGGTAAACATGCATAAGAATTTGAAATGGAGAAGAAACAAAACCAAACCAATAAATCAAAGACAAGGAAGTTCACATAGACTCATGGGAAGAGCTGTACTGGTTGCTTATGGAAGCCATTTCTGGTTGGAATAACAAGAACTTCTGACCAAAAAAAAAAAAAAAAAAAAAAAAAAAAAGACAAAGAAAAGACATTTCCATTCAAGATCTTTTGCAAGAACCCAAAAGTAATTTCCTCAACACCTTCCACTTGACAGTCTACTACATTTCCATTCAAAATCTTTTGCAAGAGCCGAAAAGTAATTTCTTCAACACCTTCCACTTGACAGTCTACTCCTGTCTTAAAAAAAACCCAAACAAATTGGAGTCAACTGCCTGTGAAAGTGTTGTGCTTTTTAATATTAAAGTAGGTGATTCCAAGTTCTAACAGAGGCACCAGCAAGGCAGATTGACTTTATTATGTATGCAGCACAAAATGGGTCATGTACATTCAAAACACATTCACAACCTGACAACAAACACACCTTTAAGGCATTTTGGCAGCAGTGAGGGAATATTAGAACAGCAACAGAAAACTCATCTGCAATCTTTCCCCTCTGGTCGTTTGTTGAGGCTAAATTCTCATGAGGGATTTGGTTGATGGTTTTTTTGCCCAGCAAATACTCAGATTACCTTTAGTGTCTCTATGTCTTCAATCTTCACTACGAACTCATCCCGTTCCCTGTACATTCCTTCTCCTCCACTGTCCATGTTCTCCTCGTCAGTACATCCTTCTATTGCAACAGTCTCCTGGACCTTGGCCAGTTGCTCTGAGCTCACAGCATCCTGTTGAGCAGCTTTCAAAGGATCAGCTGGATTCGTTTTCTCCTGCACATTGCCTACAGGAGCACTTGTCTGGGGAGATTCCTGCTTTATTACAGCAGTGGTGGCAGTGGCAGCAGCAGTAACAACTGTCATTTTTTCAGCTTCTGAAGAAATAAAAACACCCACATTTTAGTTAAACACATTCTCAAGGATTAATAAGGTCAAATGGGAACTAGATTTTTCTTCTTTTCTGTTACAAGATGTATTTAAAGCAACTACTCTCAGAAAAACACCTGTGCTAAGAGTTAAAACAGCAGCAGCATCTTGGCCACAGCTAACCCTTAAACAAAACCAAAATACTGTTTTGGGCTGTTTGTATTAAACTGCTGCATCTGTCAGCATCTAGAAATAACAAAGCTGAACACTTTAGACAACAATTTGCTAGTTACAGACACGATCACCAGGAAATACTGTTGTACTTTGTGACAAGAAGCAAAAACAAAGGTTACAGCAAATCTTGTCTCCAGTCTACAGCTTTTTAAATTTGATTACAGCAAGAAAATTACAGATGAAATAGGAAAGTATTTTCTGTGTGACTTTTGGACATTTATCATTTACATCTCAGGATAATACAGCTGGAAGCTGCAGGTTAAAACTCTGGCAATATCCCAATGATTTTTAATATTAACAGAGCTGAGCAATGAAAACTGATGATACAAAACAGAGAAGGGAAAAAGCATTCTCCTCCTGCTCCATGCCAAAGAGCCAAAGGAAAGTCCCACCTTTCAAAATTATTATTCCTTCCATCTGAAAAAAATTAAAATCCTTTTTAGATATTACTTTACACATATTAATTCTAACAGTGACTTGCTGATCTAAAAGAAACCAAGTTACAACAGCTACAGCCCAATTAAAATATCACTTAGGAAACTTAACCACTTCAGTTTTGTTACAATTACTGCTAGTTGTTGACTTTTACACTTTAAAAAGTAAAAAAAAAAGCCAACTTGACACATTTTAACAAGTGACTCAAAACAAATGAGTTAAATGCCAAATTAATGTGTCAATACAAAAGCTACATACCAAACACACGAAAATTCAGTAACATTAAGCCGTGAAATATGTTCTTTATATCACATCACTTCTATTTCTTTGCTCAGAGAAAGCTATGCCAGTTTTAATTAGACACAGCATTATTAGTTCAAGTACATTTACACACTCCTCAGAACAGCAGGCAAAGGTACATGTGCTGCTGCTTAACACTACCAACAAAAACAATGTTTTAATACTTGTCTTTCCATATTTATTTGCAAAAACAGACAGCAGAGGGAATTATTAGGCAACCTGCAAAACATCAGTGAGAAAGAAAGATTAAGCATCTGGTACAATGTACAAACAGCCTCAAACAGGAAAGGGAACTCAAGAAATTGGTGGTATAAATATTACAGCCCTGTGGATAATAAAGGTACAATAACATTGTAAATAAAACACTAACAGAAATGCCCATCTAACAAAAAACCCTTTTGAAATATTTCCTTTGGACACAGAAATGGCTTATTAAAATTAAGATACTTCAGGAAGAGGCTCACACCATGGCACTGGTCACATTTTGGCTTTCTGGAGAGAAAAAGTCAGTGATTTCTTGTTTAAAATACATATTGGCCTGAAAGACACAGGAGGAACTGCATCTTCTGTAACAGCCTTTGCAAAATGCATGAACTGAACACACTTCCATCCCAATATTCACAGAAGAAAACAGAACAGCAATTAAGATGAAGTATTGTTTAGCACATCATGTGTTCTGCAATGTTTTCCCAGTAACTTATGCCTGATTATTACAATTTAAGCTCAGTTTTGCTATGTATTTTTCAGCAAATCACGTCACCCCCAGAGAAAAAAAACTAACAACTCCCTCTCTCCTTTCATCTAAAAAGGGAAATCATGACTTCACTTTATCTTGCTGAGAATCAGCCTATGGGTCCCGAGGAGAGTTAAAGAAATGTTTAATTTTCTCCCTCTGATTATTTTGGAAGACAATGGTATCCTTCTTGAATTAGCACAGTTATGATTGGCTGGAGAGTTTCTAATTGCTTACCAGAGGGGGGAAAAAAACCAACTGGACTGAAGGGTCTATCTAGACAAAAACACACTGGATGCTGAAAATGCTTCAAAACGAAGCAGCTTCAGCTAAAAGCCCTGAATGCATGAAGAGGTCAAACTGAAAATCAGGGCAGAAAACTCACTGCTGCTGTGACCAGTGGCTCCTGCCTGTCCCTTCCTGCCCAAAACAATCCTTCCCAGAGTCTGTTCTTTGGCTAGCAATGTATCCAACTCAAGTGGCTCCCACCGAGGACAAGCCCAGCCAAACCAGTGTTCAGTTCACAAGGGCCAAGGCTGTTTCAAACATATCCTGTGCAACTTTATCACCACAGAAAGAGCATGTTTAAGTCTACCTAGGAAGAACTTAACACCTGCTGATGGCCATTATCAGTATGTTCTGTTGCTGGAATTGGTAAAAAGTAGGTTTAGAACCTCTTTATCTACATGTTTTCCAATTGTGGAAAACACTAGTTTAGTCCATAGTCAATACACCTGTTGAACAAAACTCTTCATTATGGCCAAAACCAAACCAAATCAAAACCTTCACTTGAAAACAGCTAAAGTGATTCTTTTTCCCCCCCCCCAATCAGCTACAGAAATCTCCTTCAACACATGTACTCATAGCAACTGTTTTACCTGATTTGATCTTTCTATCAGACGTGTCATCCAGGGCTGACAATGCAGTAGAGATGCACTTCTGAAGGTCATGGTTACCACCCACAGAATCATCTTCATCAGAAGAAAACGAAGGCAACGTTTCTAAATTTTTCTTAAGTTCTAAATCAGCTTTTTTGGTTGGGCTTTCTCCACTGGCCTCAGCTGCCACAGGTGCTGCTGCTGCAGGCTGAGGCTTTGCAGAGGACTGCAGGCAAGGGGAGCGAACTATTTGTGGAACTGGTCGCCTAGTCCTGTTTGGCATTCGGACAGCTGGAGTGGAAAACTGTTGCCTAGGCCCAGACTTCAGAAAGTCTAAAAAAGATGCAATAAATCCTGTTTTGACTTCGGGCTGTTTTTCTTCAACTTCTTTGATTTTTTGCCTCATTCTTTCCTGATGTTGGTAAGTATCATAACAACTTTCAGAAACAGGAGAAGAGTATGTCAAACATGAGTCATTTCCTCTTGAGTTTTGACGTTTACACTGTCCACTTCTTTTTACCTGTTTCTGAATTGCACTGTCATCTTCTGCAGCATTTTTGTTTTGGCTTTTTCCTTTGCTTTTTTTCTTCTGGAGGTTCCCTTGAGTTAAATCTTGGCATTCTTCTTCGATTCTATTAATGGCTCCATCTCCACTCTGGGGCACAGATAGTGGCTGCAATGGAACCTTTGACTGGTTACCTGCTCCTGTACCATCATCACCACCCATACTGAAGTCATTCTCTGAAGCAGCACTTTCTTCACTTAGGCTTCTACCACTTGAAACAAACTCTGTGTCTCTTGCATTCAGTGTACCATCAACAGAAGCATCATTATCTTCTTCAGAATCATGACTGATGCTAGATTGTTTCTTAACTGGAACAGCACCTTGTTCTTGCTCTTCTTGACCAGGACCAAGGGTGGGAGAGGTTATTCTTGCTGGTACATTTTGATTAGAAGTTTCAATGTGCTGTTGATCCAGGTTCACAGTTTTTGTCTGTATTGCTGACACTGGGGTAAGATTGATAGTAATTTGGCCTCCATTCAGAGAAATATTATTTATGCTTGTTGGCTTTCCAACTACAGTAGGTGAGGCACTGAAAACAGAAGACACATGTCTTACATCCAATGATCGGAACTGTGTTTTAGACTCCTCACTATTTTCAACAGCCTGTTGGATTTCCTCTTCATTAGAGGTTGATTTGGCAAAGTCAGATGGTGTCACTCCACAGGCTGCTGCTGTTGCTGCTAAGATGTCATCCACGTTGGATAATATATTCCTCTCATCACTGAGAAGTATAGATTCTGGGAAACATATTGAACTAAGAGAAACAAACTGATTTTTTGAATCATGTTGATTTGTCTGACTAAAATGATCTTTAGCTGTCAAATGCTGCTGTAGTGGTTTGGAAGGCTCAGAAATGTCCATTTTCATTACTTCTGAATTCTGACTGTGAAGCTGCTGCTGAGAATGACCCCCATTGCTCTGAATAATATGACCATCCATCTGAAGGAACGGGTGTGTCACCTGTTGAGGACTCTGTATTCTTTGCACTTGTGGTGATGCCTTTGCTTGTCCTAAACCTGACTGCAGTATTGACTGATGAAGAATCTGCAAGTCACAGGTTGACTCCAGAAGTACCTGTGCACTGGGCAAACACAGCTGATGACCATGTCTTAGAGCATGAGGTTGAACCTGTGATGATGTACTAATGAATTGGCCTTGCTGTTCTTGAGCTTTACTTTCATGTACCTTATGCATAAGAGAATGTGGCTGGTTTAGCTCTTTAGCACTCACAGTTACTTGTGTTGTTCTCATTAAGTTACCTGTTTTCTTTACATCATGGCTTAGGCTACTGATATGGCCAATGTGCTGGGAAAGCTGCTCCACAGAATTGACCATTCTTTCATCTTTTTTTGTTCCTTGAAGAGTAAGTCCAACAACTTGATCTTCAAGACGAGAGTTACTTCTGATTACACTCTGAGAGTATCTGTCATCTGCTTTTGAGACCCTATAGGAAGCATCCTGAGCATTGATTTCCTCCTCAGTTAGGCTTTGAGTGGAAGATTCAAGAGTAGCTTGCTGTTGCAATGCCTGCATATCCTGCATTGACAACTCCTCCTCTTGTTTTGATGAGGCATACAAGTTAGAGTCAGACTTCCTTTTCACATAAGTCTTTGTTTCTGAGGAAGGCCTGTTGTTCTGCAGCGGCTGGGAATGAGCTGGGGATGCAAAAGGAGACTGCACAGCTGGCAAAAACTTCTGAGACTGTGGAGAGGAGGATTCTTGTGACTGAGAGTTCTGAGAAGAATGTAAAGAAATATAGCTTTGATTAGGACTCGAGGCTGGAAGGGTTTGTACCCGAGGAGAGGCATTAAAGGAAAGAGAAGGCGATGTCAATGTTAAGGATTGCCCTGAAGAATAGCTCTCTGAAGGACTAACAGCTGACAGAGCTTGTGATTGAGATGAAAAATTCACTTGGGACTGGGTAACTGGAGATAAACCCTGAGAGTGACTAGAAGAGTAGCTCTGAGATTGGCTGACTGAAGAAAGTTCCCTCGTTTGCCCAGAGTAGCTCTCGTTTGGAACTGAGGTCAATACCTGTTCCTCTGAGGAGTAACTTAGAGTCTGACTATCAGAAGTAATAGCTTGTGATTGCCCAGAAAAAGTCAATGTTTTATACAGCGAGGGCAGCTTCTCCACCTTGCTGGATGAGAAATCCTGCGAGTGACTGACGGGGGGCACGTTCTGAGCCTGGCATGACACATAGTTTTGGGACTGACTGACTGACAAGAGGCTCGGGAGCTGTGCTGTGGAATAGATCTGTGCTTGGCCTGTAATGACAGAGCTCTGGTTTTGTGCAGTTTTGGCATAGCTTTGTGTCTGCACAGTGGGAGCTACACTTTGAGGTTTGGGGGTCTTTGCTGACCTCGGAGGCTGCTTCATGGAACAGTTCTTCACTTTTGCTGCGGAAGCAGATGGAAAACCAGGCGATGGAATCGCAGACGTGTATGACTGAGCAAGTTCCACTGTGACTTGAGAAGTCTTCTGCTGTGCTCCTCCATTGCTCACCTGAGTAACATCTCCAACAGGACTGCAGGACAACGCTGAGTGCCTAGATGTGTCCTGAAAATTAACTCCACTCGTACTCGTTAAATAGCTGTGTAAGGAATGCTGTGAAACAGTCAGTTGAGCCTGAACAGACTGAGTACTTGAAGGCCTCTGATGGTGCTTAATAACACTACATTCTCGCTGAAGTGCTCTATCCATGGAAGCTGTGGAACCAGTAAAGACAGATGTGCTGTACGCCTGAGAAACCTGCTGAGCTCCTCCAAGGGTTGAAGGCAACAGACTAAATTGAGGTTGCAACAGATGTGGTGCAGATTCTTGAGCAGAACGATAGGTTGATGACTGGGGGGGGACACTGGTGCTCAGGACAGAGCTGCCCAGGCGCTCGAATGACAGAGCGGTTGGAACAGTGCCTTGAGAGGTTTTGATCTGTAATAAAGGATCATGGGGAGTTAAGAGACCGTTGGATGTAGCACTGAAAGTAGTATCTTGAAGAGTAAGAGAAGGGGTAGTAGCAAAGTTTCTACTGCTGAAAGTGTTGGGATGCTGATACGCTGATAAAGCAGATGTCGGTGGAAAAGTTCCGGAGGTTGGCAAAGCTCCAGTAACAAATAGTTCTGTGGCTGTTGAGGAATGCATACCTGGAAAAAAACAAAAACAAAACAAGAAGGGAGAAAGCATAAGGGAGCTTCACAAGATACAACACTCTGCATTTCTGTAACTCAGTTAAACTGCAAGTTCTTACAGCATTTACAAATATAACTTCCTTTAAAAGAACACACATACAAAGGGAGGCATGTCTTGCTGGTCATTTTCCAAACAGAAGAGCACATTTCATAAGAATTCCTAATTCTATACCTGCAGTGAACTGCCAGGGGAAAAAACTCATATCCTTGAGATGCAAATTGTCAATAAAAAAAATTGTACAAGATTAATTCTGCTTTGAAACCAAAGGCTCTTTATTAGTTTTTACTTCAGTTTCGAAAGAAGTTCTTAGTAAAGTGATCAAAAGTCATGGACACCTTTAATGCACAGTAAAAAGGCAAATTTACACTTTACCAATTGTAACACACAGTAAAAGGAGGAATCCCATCTCCTGCATTTACCCTCACCAACACTTTTATAACTCACTTTATGGGAATCATTTCAGAGCTTACAGTGAAATAGCTAATGGGCTCTACACTTTGCACTTGGTTTTCTTAGAGGAAGGCTCTGACTTTCAATGCAAACAATAAATATAATTTGTCTGCTTTCTAAAGTGAGAGTCCAAAATATCCACAGAGAGCAACTATCTGCACAGTGCAATCCCAGCTCTCCAGCTGAAAAGCATAATATTACTCCTTTGCCTCTGGACATTGGTATGACATCCTGGCTGAAACAAGATTTCTCAACAGAATATGCCACTCCAGCTGAAATAGGAGTGTGAAATTCCTTTGCAAGCTTTGAGGCTTACAGCAGTGATCTGTATCCTTCAGTGATTTTCATCCTGTAACTTCCAGGTACTAGTGAAGTTTGTGTACTATTCCCAAGGTCTATGAAGAAAAGTGAAGAAGGCAAGTTTGTTCTCAAACAGCCTTAAAATTCTTGTAAAGGACTCAATTTCCAGAGGGAAATTTACCAGAAAAAAAAATAAAATCACTGGCATAACTTGACCTTTTTCAGTTCTTCTTACATACTTAAAACAGCTTTTAGCTTTGGATCATTTCAGAATAAATAAAAAACTGTGTGTAAACAAAGCTTGTTTTGAGACAAATACTTCAGTTCAAAATGTTTCATTTAAAATAAAATGCATTAAGTCCTCTCAAACTGATTGCAACTTAATCGTACAATTGCTTTTGAAGTTTCAGGTGAAGCTGACAAATTCTTGGTTTCTCCCTTTCAGTTCAAGACAAACTGATATGAAGAGATGTGATAGTGAAGGAATGCCAAGGTATTTTTCATTGGTCAACAATAAGGTCTTTCTGAGTAAGAAAGCATAAACAGCATTTTAATGAGCTTTTTTCCCCCCCATTCCAAAAAAACTGCAAGATCACATACAACTGGGTTTTTTTTTCACTGATCCCTACCACTGACACAAAGGCAAGGACAAGCAGAAGCATCAAAGAAGGGGAAGGATTTACACCCTGTTTTAACTGCAGATGTTCATTGCTCATCTAACTTGTATTTTTCCTTTCTCTTCCACAAACCAAACCCCTTCCTACTACACAGGTAATTTCTTAAGCCATGGCAAAGGTAGTTCAGTTGTGTGCACAGACACACCCCTGGCTACCTTACGAAACCACTACACTGATAACACAACCAACACAGCAAAGGAATACTTGGTAGGACAAAAGAACAAACACACTGTTCCTCTTTCCCCCCCACAATCAGGAACTGCAGGGTTTGGAGAAAAACCCAAAGTAAGAAACCTTGCAAAGAAAGGTCACTTTGAAGCATGAAGAGCTCTTGCTTACCCTCATCAAAAACATTTGTAGAAGACAAAGCTCTCAAAAGACACTTGGGAGAATGGAGGGTTACAGAAAGGCAGCAGAAGTATTAAAGGACAGCAAAAAGCTCAGAGAACTGGTAATAATGAAAAATGGGCTTAATGATGAGTTCTTAGCAATGAGTACTGAGAAGTCTCTCAATCACTGGTACCGACATCAAACCCAACCCACAGCATGTCTCCCCACTCTTCCCAACTCCCTGTGAGGAGGCTGCAATGCAGAAAATGCTAGGCTGAAGAGAAAAAAGATTTCTTCCCAGCTGACATTGTGGTGTGAGGATGGGTCACCACAACTAAATACCATGGATTTATATTGAAATTCTCTGACAGATTCACCATGTGCATCTTCATCTGTGCTCCCACATAGCTCCTTTTGCCAATGGTGAGTAAAAAGCCACACTCTCTAGTCTCAACTTTCCAAGCAGCTCTTCACAGAATTCAGCTGCACATTGCACTTAACAGAGCGAGTACAAACTGTCAACAAAAGGACTCTCCCAACTCTTCCTACCTTATGTCTCCTCCCCAGCAATCACACAGCTGCACTGAGACACAGATCAGCTTGCTGATACAGAGGAAAACCATCCCACCAAAAAACCACACTCAAACACTTTCTGTCAGCTCAGTGAATAGATGCAATTCACTGCACAGCTGCATAATCCCTCCTTAAGATTAACCAGAACTTGAAGCTACCCACAGATGCAGCAGCAACACTTATCTTGGTGGGGCTGTCTACAGCAAGCTCAAAAATATGCAGTTTCCTGCCCTGCACAGAAGGCTTGACAGATGGGGGAGGTTCATAGAGAGCAGCCAAGTCTGCCAAAAGAGACGGCACGTTTGTTTAGTTGTGAATTAGACCACTCATTTCTATGTGACATGCACCTCAGACCTCCTTTCTGAGAACACCTTGCTCATTGCTTCTGTGTACAAAGGAGCCAGAGTAATCCATAGACTGCTAGTAGTAATATCACAGAACTACTGTAACAGGGAACAGAGTTTGAGAATGAAAGACCTGCTAAGGTGTACAGGTAGTCTACCTGAACATGCTCATGGTGTGAGACTAATTCCAACCAAAGTTGGGAGAATAAAGCTGACTTGTGAGACAAAATAATATTCTATGCCTCTAAATTCCTTCTAAACAATCAGAGCTTCTGCCCATATAATTAATTCCTCTTTTAATATAATCCTCCTGCTAATGGAATTTCATTGATTCTGATATTTTTAAGTATGCAGATGTAACAGAGGTAGAAACCATGCAGCCTTTTCGGTTAGTCAGGACATTTGTGTTTCAAATTCTCTGAAACATTCAATAGAATCATGCCAAAATTTTATTCCAAGAGAAAATTTTCACCTGTCTGCCAGGAAGGAGCCCTGAATTGTGGTAAAAGGGTAGATCCTGAAGAGACTGCTTGAGCAGTACGAGACTCAATAGCAGAGAGAAAGTTCATAACTGAAGAAGTTTCCTTAGTGTTACTTCCAGCACTGTGCATACTGGTATCAAATATTCCTGAAAGACCTAGATGGTGGTGGAGGGAAATGAAACAAAATAGACAATTCAGATGAACTTCCAAGAAACTCAGATAACAAGGATATACATGCATCATTCACTGGAAAAAAAAAATCCCATCACTATGAAACATTAGCATTGCTATTAAAATACATTGATTTTTCTGTGTTTAACTGTTACACAGTTGCAAATGTAAACTGGAACTTCAATATATGTTTTAAAATCTATTACTAAATGCATGTCAAACATGATGCTTAAAAACAGTATTTAGGTACACCAATAAAATTCTCCCTTCAACTGAAGATTCACTGCTCCATTTTTACATGAACTGGTTAAACACTCAGAATTCCTCCTGAAAAGGGTTCAGTTTCTCTGTATCAACCTTTTCCCACTTTGAGCAGCTTGCAGCAGTTTGAACATCTCTCTAGGACTGGCACATGAAAAGAGGTTTTGGTTGCATTCCCTGTTTTGACAAACACCTTTGTGTGTTTCCCATGGCTCAGACCTCTCAATAGCAGGGGGGGCTCAGTAGGAAGCACTGGAGAGATCCAGAGTTTTGAGTCACTGAGATTATGTCCAGATTGCAGTTCTGACCCTCCGTGGTCCTGATGGAGGCCTGGCCAGGAGACTGCAGGCTCCAGCCAGCACATGAGCCCAATCATCTTTCTTTACAAACTGGATTGCAAAGTGGGCATAAAGAGGTCATGCTCTGTCTTCTCCTGACATGGAGACAGGATATCAGCAGGACCAAAGACAGATCCTGCTGCACATGTAACACAGCCTAACCTACAACTCTATTTAAAACAATTTTTAACTTTCCCCCAGCACTGTCTCAGCTTTGCACACGTAAGTACTAGCAACAGTGTGTTCCAGCTTGGATTAGTCCTGTGTTTGCTGCAGCCCAGAAGAACTGGCGTGATTTCTGCAGCTGGCTTTGAGGAACACTTAATGCTTGGCCCTTCTGCATGGACAAATCCTGAAAAGCTGTATTCTACAAAATAAATGCAGCTTCTCCAAAAGTGAACAGCAAGTCACTAAGCATAACCTCCCCCTTATATTTTCCTTTCTACTTATGATATGTTCTAACAACTTAACTTTCTGCTACAAACTCAGCTTTTCTAATACCACTTGCCACCACCTGAATGACAAACTCCCTCTGATTATAAAATTCATCAACTTTAATCTGAACTATGGCACAGCTCTGTAGCTATTCAAGCAATATTCTCATGACATGGACAGTTACCGGTAGGATGTTGTGTAGTAGAGTATCCAGGAAGCTGATGAGAAGCTGTGTATGTCTGTCTGTGAAGATCTGTTTCTGAATGTGATGAATGTCCTCCTCCATAGCTTAAGCTAAGGAAGAAATTAAACATTGTTAACAAAAATAGACAGCAACAGAAACAAAAAACCAACCATGAAATTCCAACCACAACCCAAAAATTTGCAGAAATAAAAGAGAACAAAGATTAGACAGATGAAGTTGTGCTAGGATATCACTAGAAATATTAAGCAGATAAATGTACTACAAGACCCAACAAGCCAAAGTAGGGAAAAAACCAAACCCTTCCACAAATCGAAGCTGATCACAGAAAAGTTTATAGAGGTCAGAAAGACAGAGGTCCTCCCAGTTCAACTATAAGAAACACTGGACGGACACTTTTTGTAATGATTTCCTGATGCAAAGTCTGCAAAGCAGATGGCTATGAATACATGCCCACTTTAACATTTCCATTTCTAATTCCATTAGAATTTACAGGACCTCAATTCACAGGCTGCACGGACTAGGAAGCTGTGGGATCAATCTTTTAAGATTTGGTAACTTTTGGTACAACTTAACAAAACTGCCAGTGAAAGCACTGCAAAGTGACAAATGCACCTTCAGACCTCCTAGGACTAAATACAGGTTAATAGCCCACAGTTTTTATTTAACGTTTTTAAATGAGTCATCTAAATTAACATGATGGTTTAATCAGGCTGAATGGAAGTAAACTGAAAATATACAGTGTCTGGGGCAACAAGGCAGAAAATAAATAAACACAAATGTAAACATCAAGCAACAGGAGGAACCTGCCAAAAGTCCTGATGATTCCCAATTCAAAAAGCAGAAAACAAAGGGGGAAACCAAATAAAATCCCAAAGCTCTCAAGCTCCCTCAGATTCAGCACCTATCAAATAGAAAAAAAAGAAAGCCAGGATGACCAAGCAACCATTTATCTTCCTCTCTTCTTGCCTTTTGGGCATCAAGTTTATAGGTAGCTGCTACTTACTCCAGTGCACATGTGACACTGCTTTAGGTTCAAAATTCCACTGTAAACAAATGCCAAAACGACCCAAATGATGAAACCCACAGCCCTCCCTGCTGCCTGCTCTGAGGGAGACATCCCTTATCCTCTTTCATCCCCTGGGATGAGGGGGCAGTCACACTGCAGAAGGGAAAAATTGAACACTTGATGCCAGGAATCATGACATCATGGGAAACTTTTATAGAAGACACTAAATAATAGAAAAATTTGCAACATGACTGGCTGTGCCTCATCTTCATTAAGATGACCAGAGGAGACAGATGAGCCTCTAAGAGCATTATGAGCTCCTCACTCACATTATGAGCTGTCTGTATGGGCCTTCCCTGCCTGAGATGCACAATCAGGGGATGTATTTTCCATTTCAGCTGTATGCAGCATAGCAATGCTCTACAGTCAGCATGCCAGGCTAAAGCACAAGCCTAAAGAATGAACCAAAATCCTTTGAAAAAACAAAGCACCTCAGCTACTGCTTTTCTCAGTTGCACTCATTGTCTAGCACTTTAACACCTTTCACAGCAATATTTGCACTTTGGAGAATTGCCAAACCTAAATTCAGAGTCAGCACATCCGTGTGCTTATGCTGTAGAGCACAGATCTTTGTGCAGTTCAACACTCTGCACATCAGCAACTGATTGCTGTTACATGCTGACTGAAATCTCATAATTTGCATCATGACTATGGACAATTGGCAGGCATCACTGCATGACACTGTAGGTTAAGTTTTTTATTGTCAGCATTAAAAAATGCTAATTATTTCCAGACAAAAAAACCCCACCAAATTGCCATAGTGTTCTGTACATAAAACATTATGCATGTAATAAAGCCAATTTAAATGCAAGTATCTGCACAAGAAAAAATTTTTAGAGTTGAGTTGGTTTGGGGTTTGTGAACAAACTTCCACAGCTAGAAAAGAAACACATAAAACTTTGGAGATGTGTTTTCTTCCACTTTTTTAAATGAAGACACTACACAAGAGAATAAGTTTCCAAACTGCAGCACACACCTTGTTCGGAGATGTGTTTTCTTCCACTTTTTAAAATGAAGACACTACACAAGAGAATGTTTCCAAACTGCAGCACACACCTTGTTAGCAAAAAGTGTCTTCACTGACACAAACAATGACCTTGTGACAACTTTGCCTGTTGTAACAGCAACAGATTTTACTTCACTTTATTTTCAAGTTTTCTTAAAACATTTACCTGTATAAAAGTATGTGATGCTGATTTCTCTTTCACACACTTTTAAAGGCAAACTATGAAGTCCTACTACACATAGCCCATACAGCAGCACATCTCCCTTTTCCCAGTGGGGTATTTTCAGGCTGAGAGGCACTTTGGGCCTACACTTTGCCCCAAAAGTCCTTCCAGGTGAGGCAAGACTCACAAAACAGTACAGATTATAGCAAGTAATACAGCATCATTCCTCCTCTTACACTGTAACAGCAAGGCATGAGCAAAAAGTGGATGGACTTTTAACAACCTGAAAAGTCATTTGTTGGGGAGAGAGGGGTTCTTCAGGGTTTTATTTTTGTTTTCATTTGAAATTACTCCTTATTCTGGTTGTTTGGTGGAGATTGTTTCCCCTTCTTCACTGCTCTGCAGGTACAGTACACACAAACTACAGGACAGCCTAACACAAGCCACGTGCAGACTTGAGGCACAACACAGGATAAAAGTAACTTGCAAAGAAAACTTGGACAAAATTTGAACCCAGTATTTTACATTTCCCACTCTGAGCATCTTAAGAACACTCAAAGCATGTGAAGCCCTTTTTTTTTTCCTCCCCTAACACAAACTCCCAGGTCAGAGTTAACCCAACCGCAACCTCAACAACAAATCTGTCTTTCAATAAAAACATTGTATTTATCTGAACAGTTAATTGTTTATTGTATAATTACTGGTTGCTGGAATGTAGATTCTTATCTCCAAAAGCCTTGCATCTATGTCTTCAGTTTACATAAGCTTATCCTAAACAAGCACAGCAATCTGAGAGGTTATTGCCTTAGGGTTTCTCTTTATAAAATTTAGCTTTTGAACAGCATGTAATTCGCATATCAAAAATACATCCAGCATGGCAAATAACCTCGTGGCTACTGAGCCCTTTGTGCTCTGGTTTTGAAGCTTGCTAAAATTCCACGAGTTCTCACTTGTACTGAAGCATCAGAAGAGTTACTGAGGAGACATTCATATTACTCATGTACTTTGTTATTTGTTATCATTAGTTGCTATACAATGTTCCAAAAACACTTGGCCCTTATCACTGATTATCACAGCAATTTCCACTTCTACTGCCATAGTTAACTGCACAATGGAGTGATTACTGCTAGAAAATAATACTAATTTGACATACAAATTTGGAAAACAGTTCCCCTGAAGAACTCATTGAAAAGATCCATTCAATTTTAATGTGGTATGTTAGAGATGCCCTGCAAAGAGCCATCACTATTTGTCACTGCTGTATTGATGCAATCAAAAAATACTTGTGACAATGAAAGTGAAATGACTCAAGTATTAATCTGGGGTTTTTTTCCAACTACATCAATTGTTACCTCTCCAGTAAAATTTCAAGAAGAAAAATGTATCATCACTGCACTTCACTGCTACTAAAGTACCTCAGCTTTGATTTACAGCTCCTTTTTGTTAGCCCAGATTAAGTCCTGCAAAGAGAGGACTAGAAGGAGTGGTCATAAACTGAGACAGGGCAGAGTCAGATTGGATGTGAGGAGAAATGTTTTCACTGTGAGGGTGTTGAGGCACTGGGATATTGCCCAGGGAGGTGGTGGAGTCACCATCCCTGGAAGTGTTGAAGAGGCATCTGGATCTGACACTGGAGGACATGGTTTAGGGGTTCAGCTGGACTTGATGACCTCAGGAGGTCTCCTCCAACCTTGATGATTCTATGATTCTAGAAGTCTTTCTGGAATCAACTCTTCACACACCTGTTTATATTGCTATTCCTATGTTAATTTATTTTCAAAGCATTCTTCAATCTAATAGTTTCATATGAATTCAGGTCTCCAACTGCAAAAGGTTATTGGGTTACACTGCACTCACACAGAGTCAAGCTCTGCCAGGGGAGGGTTAGGTTGGATATTGGGAAGAGATTTTTTTACAGAGAGAGTGCTCAGGCATTGGAATGTGCTGCCCAGGGAGGTGGTGGATTC